TTTTTTTCTTTAATTTTCTCATCATAATGTTCAAAATACATGGTTACACGAATACATTAGCGTTAAATCGTTTCAAATGCATTATATAAGGAAATATATTAAAAAAATGAAGATTGTGATAAATTTTATAACAGCGCGCCCGCTCGAAGGTTAAACTAGAAAAATGTAAATTTTGCTTGACAACTAAATATTGGGACATTGCACAATTTGTATTTCTAATATGGAGTAACATCGCCCTTAGATTTTATAACCGCTTGAATTCGGTTGGGCATTGGATTCACTAAAGTTCTACACTGTTCAGGAGTAAATCCATCCCAAATTTGTTTTATTTTGTCTTTAAGTTCTGGCAATATCCGTTGTGGGTCGTTCCTCAAAGTTTGTTTCATTTTTTGCCACACTGTTTCAATTACATTCAGATCTGGACTGTTGGTTGGCCAATACAGAACCTTAATATTTTGATCGCCAACCACTTTTTTGTAGTTTTGGCCGTATGACAAGCCGTTCCATCCTGCTGAAATATGTAATTTTCGCCAACATTTAACTGCACGATACTTGGTAGTATGCTGTTTTGTAGTATTTGTTGATATTTTGCGGCGTGATTGATATCCTGAAGCTGTCATACGGGCCCAAATGATTACTCCCTTCGGAAATTTTACACATTTAAACCATCTTTATGAAATGCCTCATGTTTATTGCGAATTACGCGTTTACGGTAATCGCCAATACATACATCAAATTTCGATTCATCGCTGAATATTATCCTGGAAAAGTCTTCTGCTGACCAAGACAGTTTAGATTTTGCCCAAGTGAGCCTGGCTTTTTGTTGTTTTTCTGTTAATACTGGTTTTTCTTTTGCCTATAAAACAACAATTTTCTAAAAACTACATTTTTTAATTATTGCTTGTAAGTAAAGCTCGTAAAACTTTAATTCAGTTTTAAGAATCCATTTGCGACAGCATTCTCCTGATATATGATGATAATCCAGTTTCATTATTCCATTCAGCTGTAACTTGTCTTAAAATATTTCTTCGTCCTTTTTTTGCCGATTTTGACAAGTATTCTTTTATTTCTATCAGAAACTAACTTTGGACGACCTGAACTTTTACCCTTTTTTCCTAAAATTTGCCCAGTTTCTCCATAATGTTTAATTACTTTCCACGCTACGCTTTTAGGAATATTAAGTTCGTCTGCTTTTTCACGTATTGTTATACCGGCACTTTAACATTTCATTTTACGTTATTTCCACAGTTTACTTATCTTAATTTGTTCCATTTTTATGGAAGTTACTTTGCACTGTCCCAATATTAAGTTGTCAAGTAAAATGTACATTTTTCTAGTTTAATTAGAAGCAATAGGGTGTGTATTTTGTTTTTTGTGTTGTTCATTAGACAAAATTGTTGTTAATTATATAATCAAATGATATTAATCTGAAAAAATAATTAAAACAAATTAAAGTGTTAATTATTGTTAATTATAGACACTTTTTATTTTGTCCCAATATACAGGTGTCTCACGTAACTGGTTCGTTAGAACTTTTTCAAGTTCCACTATTCGTAGAGATTTGAAATTTTGGTAGCATGGGTTGTTCATTCGGAACTTTCGATCTAAAATATTTTCAAGATGGCCGCCACTTTCGGTCTACCGGAAGTAGACCATAACTTCGCTATTTTAAATGGAATGTTATAGTTTTTATTACACAATTTAATTGTACGTAAAAAAATATATTGATAAATATTATTGGTACCTAGCGTTTTTCGTTTTCGAGTTATTTTGGTTTTAAACTTTTTTTGGTAAATTTCAACATGCTCTTTAAAACTCCATATCTCAGCCAAAGTTCATTCAAAAAAGATCTACTTTGGCACGATTACTCTTCAGATGTTGTCAAATAGATTGTCATTTGTTGTATCGGAGTATCTTATACAGGATGGTCAAAAATAGAATTACTGTTTCTCCATATTCAATGGCGAGAAAGTCGAAAATTTTAAATGGAACGCCCCATATTTTTTTAGCCTATCAGAAAGAGAGTTTAATTCTCTACAAATTATCTATAAACATTCCCATACCTATTTATTGTAGTTTGCCTTATATTGCGAAATTTATTAAAACATGCACGAAATACAGGTTTTTTTATTAGAAAGCTATGGAATTTTGACAGTTTTTGGTCCATGTTTGTATTATTGTTGCCATTAGTTACATTTGACGACGGGTGTAAGTTATTGAACATCATGGTAAATTATTCCACCGCCGATATTTGAAATTTATTTTGTATTGATGGCGAATGTAATAAACTTTCGCACAAGACGTGTCGATCACTTAATGAGAGATGCCTAACAAACCTAACGCCCATCACAAGGAAAAATTTCAAAAAATTGATAAAGAATTTATTAGTTCTGGATATATCGAGACCAAAAGAAATCGCATATTTCCGGTCACCAGTGATGAAGACAACGAAATAAATAATTTAATGTATTTTATTGCATTTCCAAATTCAATTTAATAACAAATTTATATTATAAATTTATGTTTTTATTCAAATCTAATTTTTGTCATTAACTTTTTGTTCTAATAGTTTCATTTATTTGATCTTCTGTTTGTTATTTTTGGTAAGTAAAAGCTAGTAAACTAAAAGATTATCAATCGTAGTTAATAGTACAAATAATAATAGAAATAAATTAAACAAAAAACTGTCAAAATGTCCTAATAAAAATACAAACGGTTTCCTGCATTTTCTGCATGTTTTGATAAATTAACGAATATGAGAGAAACTACAATAAATAAATATAGGAATGTTTATAGATAAATTGTATAGCATTAAATTCCCTTTCGTGTAGGCTAATAAAATATGGGGCGTTCCATTTAAAATTTTCGACTTTCTCCCCATTGAATATGGAGAGACGGTAATTCAATTTTTGACCATCCTGTATAAGATACTCTGACACAATATATGACAATCTATTTGAGAGCATCTGAAGAGTAATCGTGCCAATTTAGAGCTTTTTTGAATGAACGTTGGCGGGGATATAAGGTTTTAAAGAGCATGGTGAAATTTGACAAAAAAAGCTTAAAATCAAAATAACTCGAAAACGAAACACGCTAGGTACCATTAACTTTTATGAAAGTCAACATATTTTTTTACGTACAATTAAAAGGTGCAATAAAAACTATAGCATTCCATTTAAAATTTCAAAACTGTACGAATACTGGAACCTAAAAAAGTTATAACGAAACAGTTACGTGAGACATCCTGTATAGTTGTTAGGGCTCGTAGTTTTTGTAATTCATACGATGTAGTAACCCATAGGTCTCGTGGACCTATAGGTGATTAACGAAGGGTTAAGCATGTTCTGAATCCTAAATTGATATCTCAAAAATCGAGTGTTCTCTGATTTTTTGAACAAATGTCTGCTGGAGCAGATTTTTCGAGAAAAGCTTGAATATGTTACCACCCCCGAGCGTGAGGTGGTAAGAGGCCCCCGAGTATATTATTCTCCTCGGGTCCACTCTTTATAGGAGCCTCGTAACGTGGTTAAGTGCGTCAAAAGACAATGGGGAAAGGATCAAGCGGCGGATGTCAATAAACAAAATACAAAAGATCAATAAAAACTTTGAATTAATTAATGAGATACTTTAATTTAATTTCTTTTAAACGCAAATAAAATAAACAAAAAAAAAACAGTAATTATTTCTATCTCGTACTCACATAATGGTTTTTGGGTTGATTGACACCTTTTTCTTCTCTACTTTCTTCTCTTATTTTTCTCTTTTAATTTCTTTTAGTCTTTTTCCACTTTTCATTCCCACACTTTACCCATGCCTCTACTCTAACTCTCGACCACACTCTCTCTAACTTCTTCTGTCTGCCTGCTCTTTTCGCGAGTCCCTCATCCGTTGTCCCCACTCCCAAAATATTTCTGTACTTCCCCGAATTAAATATAGATATCTTTTCTGACTTGTTACAAATAACTCGAGAACGGCAGAATCAAATTGCAAAAAGTAAAGTTATTTATAAGCCTTGAAAACAGGTAAATCCAAACTTGTTTCAGATTCCATTTAAAAAAATAAAGTTTAAAATTAAACATCCGGTATAATCGGAAGTGTTAGAAATCTGAAAATATTTTAGTCGAAGAGAACGCAATTAATAATACTTAAATTTGAATTCTCAAATTTTTATTTTGGCCAGAACCCCAGAAGCGTCTAATGACCGGTCTCGCTGTGACATCCTGTATATTATATGTATTTTTTTATGTTGTAATTATGTGGCGTAAATAAATTTTGTTTTCTCTCTCTCTCTCTCTCTCGGGATGGACATTCAGTGTAAATAAAATTTCAGAAATGTGTGTTCAATGGAACCAAAAAAGAGGTTGTTGCTGACTTTTTGGAGGACACTGTATATCACTCTATAGGTATGTAATTTAAAATAAAAGAATATAAGATAATAAATCAAAACGATTTATAGAATTTAACACAAATACGTTTTAATGTCCATTTTATCGTTTACTTAATGCCCACGTTTATATTTCCGTGTATGTACTTACATACATATGTAGATATACGCTTTTGTGTCCCACTGGATATATAATATAAATTTTAACGAAGATAATTATAGAAATCTTAATTACATGGTTTTTTATTGTGAAAAAGATTAAATTTAAACTTTATTTTGAAATTAAACATCATTTAAAATAAATAACGGCGAAATAAAATGTTGAGAAAAAAAAAACAGTTGGCCAACTTGCCTGTCAAATTGAAAGAGTAAGATTCGAGGTGAGCATGAAAATAATTTTTGTATAAAAATACTTTATAATATAATATTCGACTCAAAATTGATAAAAACGTATCGTTTATTATGATTTAGGTGAAGGTGGATCACCCGAAAGATGAATTTTTGACACGTGTTCCCGGTACATAACCTCAACGATGGCGACGTCGATTCCAATCGCTGGTATTACATTTATTTACTTTTATAATTTATTAATTTTATTAATTATATTATTCGATTAGTTCGCAGCTCTAATGGGATAAATGTGAATTTGGGACCACCCAATTTTGGAACCGTCGTCGATTTCTCACCTGTTGTGAGTAAATCTTGTCGTACCCTACTGTTTAGTCCCAATGGAAGTTATTTGGCTTACGTTAACGGTTTAGTGTAAGTTTCAATTTTTATAAATCGATTGAAATTCATAAATTTACTTTAATTCTTGTTAGTCTTAAGATAGTGCGAACAGATATATGGAAGGACGTTGCTGTTATCGAGGGTACTAAAGCTTACCATCTAGCTTTTTCACCAAAAGGCACCTATTTGATGAGCTGGGAAGTGTTTATTGTCAATAAGAATCATCCGCAGGGGTCACCTAATTTGCATATCTACAAAACTGAAACTGGGGAACACGTTAAAAGCTTTGTACAGAAGAAACAAACAAATTGGTAAATACTTACATTTCCCTAGTACTATTATTGATTATATTAGATAAAATTAAATCATTTTGAATATTTTTATTAAGTTTTGGATCAAATTAGCACATTATAGAATTGAAGGGCTTAGTGTGCAACAATGACAAGGCACAAATATAAAATTATTGGAAAATCGACTTTGAAATTTGTACAAAATCTGTAAAATTAATGTTTCCGTCTTTTTACCTTTTGGGTTGTTTACATTAGTAACACAACTGTATATATCTATCCAGGATACTGAAATAATAAAAAAAATATATAGAAAACTATAATAAATATATAAATAGAATTTTATTAGAAAAACTGTGACTTGTAACACTTTTGCACTAACAAACGACAACATTTTCAATTAAAAACTAAATAAGTCAATAACTCAAAAAAGAAAATAAATATAAAGAAATAATGTTTAAACTAAGAAAATGGCTCTGCTTCATTAATAATTTCAGGTTCCTCTGTTTCTTCAGCACTATCAGTTATTTTTGGCTGTAAATTTTGGAAAAAACCATGATTCACAGCCAGGTATGTAAGGTAGCAATGTCTTTACATTGTCGTATTTTTTTTTGAAATTTTAATTGGTTCAAGATACTTTCTATCTAACTGATCAAGTGTAGTGTATACTGGTCTTCCTCGTTTTGAGATAGACACCTGGTCGTACTCACCATGAACGGAATGTTTGACGTAATAAACTTTAGTATTTTTATTACTAAATCGAAATGAAAACGCATTAGCAAAGTCTAAGTTATGGCCAGTATTGGTGCGCGAACTCTTTTTTATGTTTGTAAGAGTAGGTGTAAAGTTTAAAAAATCTTCCTGCGTCATAACTGTGACTGCAAAAGGTGTTTTTTTGTTTGATCGCCGTATAATATCGTACCATTCATTTGGACAAAAAACTTGTGGTGCATACCTTCGGTGTCGCTTTTCTATAAGTGCGAAGTCCCTATCAGANTCTCTGTACTGATCGGGTACAAAAACCCGTTCACATTTTTTTAAAGTTTTTTCAATTCTTCCGAAATCTCTATCAGAGTCCAAATAAGAATGTCCAACCTCTGGGAATTTATGATCAATTTTTCTAAACATGCCCTTCAAAATTAGGAGCTGATATAAAGCAATAATATTAAAATTTTTGTTTTGGCCGGCACAAGAATCTGACCAAATTATTAGGTGATTAATCTCAGGGTTAGTTTCTTTAATCATTTGGGCGAAATAATACAAACAGCTCGCAATTTCGCTGCTCCCTCTATTGGCAACGTCTTCAGTCCACGTAAAAAAATAAGGTTGTTCTTCTTTTGATATGAAATGTATACTAAAATTGTAAAACCACATCTGTCTCAGATAGAAAGCCTTAGATGTGGTTATTCTTGGCAAAGGCATGGTTTGTTGTAGATCCATGGTGAGATAAACAATTTCATTGTTGCTTTTAGCTTTTAACCTATCCTTTTTCTGTTCTTCAAACGCCTTTCTGTACCTCTCTTTATGTTCTTCATTGCTTTCACCGCTGTCGCAAGTGCTGCAAGTGTCGCTCTTAGGTTGTCCAAAAGATAAATTAAATTTTGTAGAAAAAATGTTGCTATATGAACATAATTTTACTATGTACTCTTCTGGAAATTTTTTGGTGCGACATTCGTTTATATACAACCTGTACATTTTAGCTATATTTAGCAGCGGAGAAAGATACATCTTATTAATATTTTTATTCCTTGAATAATGTGATTGTTCGGCAGGAAATCTTTTTATGTGGTCAACAATGGATTCAACAACTTCAGCTGGCAATTTATGGGGCCTTTTATCATGGCAGCCTCTTCTGTCTGGACTTGGAGCTACCTCACCTGATTTCAGCTTTCTCTGAATAACAGCAACTTTTTTTCTACCAATTTGATATAATGACATAAAAGCAAGTTTGCAAACTTGCGTTTGTGTTGCATTATAAGTTATAAAATATTTAAATGAAAACTGTTTTGGATTTTTAGCTGAAGATCTATGGCGCTGAACTGGGCCAATTTTTATACTTTTGAAAAGTAAAATATTTTTGGAATTCTGATTTAACTTGTAGAAACTTTTAAATATATTTTCTCTTGAGTTGACTTCAAACTTCTCATCGCAATTTAATCTGCAATGATCCGTACACAGTACATTTTTTAGATTTGGACTCTTAGCGGCAATTTCTTTTCCCGTTTGAGAAATATATTTTTCCCCTCGATCTCTTGCAATCCTTGCCGTTTCCCTTTTCCACTTACTTGGATCCCTCGTCCTTTTCCTAGCAATCTTTTCTGAAGGTTCAAATATTTTCTTTTTTAGTTTTTGATTTTTTTCTGTCGAGATACTATCTGAATTATTTGGGGTATCTTCTCCCATTGTGTGTTTAGGTGTGCCAATGTGTGCCAATACATTTCCTTTGAATTTCATTGTCAAATCACTTGAATTATTCTCTTGTACCGCAATATTATGTTTATTTAAATCAGTGCTTATACATTCGTCTTGGCCAATACAGAACTCAAATCCCATACCTGAATCTAAAGATAAATGAACCCAATATTCATGTTACTTAACCATACAAAAAGAGGAAAACGCATACCACCATTAACCGGACGTAATTCAGCCATTTGAAACATAAATTAGCATGTGGAATTTATTTTTACTTACACGATTTAGCACCTGTTAAAATTTAGTTAAATACAAACAAATCACGGTAACTTGATCTGCACTATCGAAGGAAACAAAATGGATAAAGGTGTTAAAGTCACATAGCACCTTTATCCATTACCTTAATTTAGATTGTAAAACTCATAGCACCTTTATCAACCGGTACTTTGCAAAAAAGTAAGAATTAATCTGCAAAACATCTTTAGACGTTTAAATTACTGCATAAAACACTTAAAAAGCCAAAAATCCTAAAATTCTCAAAATTGTTACATAACACCTTTATCCACTCGCGTCTTCAATTAAAAACTAAATAAGTCAATAACTCAAAAAAGAAAATAAATATAAAGAAATAATGTTTAAACCAAGAAAATGGCTCTGCTTCATTAATAATTTCAGGTTCCTCTGTTTCTTCAGTTATTTTCGGCTGTAAATTTTGGAAAAAACCATGATTCACAGCCTGTATGTAAGGTTTTTTTGAAATTTTAATTGGTTCAAGATACTTTCTATCCAACTGATCAAGTGTAGTGTATACTGGTCTTCCTCGTTTTGAGATAGTTTTGAGTATTTTTATTACTAAATCGAAATGAAAACGCATTAGCAAAGTTATGGCCAGTATTGGTGCGCGAACTCTTTTTTATGTTTGTAAGAGTAGGTGTAAAGTTTAAAAAATCTTCCTGCGTCATAACTGTGACTGCAAAAGGTGTTTGTTTGTTTGATCACCGTATAAAATCGTACCATTCATTTGGACAAACACCACAAAACTTGTGGTGCATACCTTCGGTGTCGCTTTTCTATAAGTGCGAAGTCCCTATCAGAAGGAAGATGAGTATGACCACTTACGAGAAAATGGTGCGTTATTGTTTTATTTAAATTTTAATAAAATTTATTCTCCTTTACCAGTTGTAACCATAAACTCATCATTAGCCAATTTTTATATTGCCCTGGGCAATTATCTGTAAATATAATTAGGTGGTCAATTTCGGTCTTCGTCATAAGAAATTTTAGGAGGATTGAAGCGACTTCATCCCTTCCTCTCTTTGCTATATCTTCCGTCCAGAGAAACAAGTGCCTTGTGCCATTTGTACAATCATGAATGCCTAAGTTGTATAACCAGATTTTTCCGCAATAAAACGCTGGACCCGTTGTTAATTTCGGGATTGGTAATGCCTGTTGTAAGTCAAATGAAATTACCAACGTTCTATTGGTGTTTTTTGATTCTTGAGTCGTGTTATTTAACAATTCCTGCATTGCTTTCGCTTTAGTTTTATGTGTCGTCAGGTCAATGTTTAGCCGAGACAATTCCTGATTTTCATTTAATTTTGTTGCAGAGTCTATCCTGATGTTAAGTTGATCACAGTTTGTAAGTGTCGGATTTGGGTAATTTAAAGCCAATATTGTATTCTGTACAAAATACCTGCCTATATGTGTGCTCCAGAACAGGTTTGATATGTTGTTGTTGACACCACGGAACATAATACTCGGAATAAAGACGCGATATGGTCATATCACAGTTAAGGTATACTTTCCCTAGATTTTCAGCCCTGCTATAGTGACTTCACTCTGCTTTTGCTGGTCACTAATTTGATTGGATCTGTTCGAATGTCGGCCACGTTTATCTTTTTCTGGTACAGGAGTTCCTCTTATTTTCTTTGAANATTTGGGGTATCTTCTCCCATTGTGTGTTTAGGTGTGCCAATGTGTGCCAATACATTTCCTTTGAATTTCATTGTCAAATCACTTGAATTATTCTCTTGTACCGCAATATTATGTTTATTTAAATCAGTGCTTATACATTCGTCTTGGCCAATACAGAACTCAAATCCCATACCTGAATCTAAAGATAAATGAACCCAATGTTCATGTTACTTAACCATACAAAAAGAGGAAAACGCATACCACCATTAACCGGGCGTAATTCAGCCATTTGAAACATAAATTAGCATGTGGAATTTATTTTTACTTACACGATTTAGCACCTGTTAAAATTTAGTTAAATACAAACAAATCACGGTAACTTGATCTGCACTATCGAAGGAAACAAAATGGATAAAGGTGTTAAAGTCACATAGCACCTTTATCCATTACCTTAATTTAGATTGTAAAACTCATAGCACCTTTATCAACCGGTACTTTGCAAAAAAGTAAGAATTAATCTGCAAAACATCTTTAGACGTTTAAATTACTGCATAAAACACTTAAAAAGCCAAAAATCCTAAAATTCTCAAAATTGTTACATAACACCTTTATCCACTCGCGTCTTCAATTAAAAACTAAATAAGTCAATAACTCAAAAAAGAAAATAAATATAAAGAAATAATGTTTAAACCAAGAAA